ATGTTTTCATATTGAACATTTGTAATACCAGTGGCGTATTTACGGGGGAGGGGGATAAAGAAGAATAAGAGATCATCCCCCTCCATAGGCTGTATAATATATTATGCAAAAGTTTGAAGTATGCAGAGTCTCCTAACTTAAAGCATCTAACTTTAAAGGCATGGGCTACTTCCCCCCCTCCCAAGACAAAAACCTAAATACGCCACTGTGTAGTACTAATACAAAACGTATGTACCTATATTAAATACCAGCCATATAGGTACTTAATATGATACCACCAAGTTGTATGCTATTTGTTTATTAGTTCATATCTATATCTAATATATATGTCTATTGTCTTTGATGGAGACCAAATAAAAAAAGTAATATTTTTGAGTAGTGGACCCTCAGTCAACCCCTTGGTTGGGCACGCAACTGAGTACACAACAACACTGTAATAAACAATAATTTATTATCGTATACAATACATATATTATTATGTATTAATATTTATTGACTGTTGTAGTTATTGCAATTGTATTATTATTATTTATCGTGTTTTAACTTTTAATACGTAAAATAAAAAAAGTTTTTAAAATATTATCTTATTGCTTATATTCCTTACCTTACCTAGCCAATAGGCTATTGTAATTAGTAGGTATTACCTAAGGATCTTCATAATTTCATTATTTTTCTAAAATTTTCCAGCGGAAATATATTAGTTATATGTAAATAATATTTAGGCATGTGAATGTGTCATAGTCACACACTCACACAACTGTCACAACTACACAAGAACCTACTTAGGCACTATTTTATTTGTTATATTTACATACTATATTACTATACTGCATAATATGTACATTATACAATATACATTGTATCCTTCTAATAGTGTGTTGTAGGGTTGCGAAAGTAAACAAATTCTCAACCTATAGGTAGGTGTATAATATTGAAGTCAGAGTCATAATGTTGATCCTATATATAATAGTTACACTTCTAGGTCTGAGACCAACAATTATAGCTTCGTGATGGTCCATGGAACTATACAGAGCAGTGGTATTCAATTTGATTGGACTTGCGACCTATTTTAGTTGTTATTTTTTTTTTGCAGCCTAGGTACCTAGTACCTACCTATAATCTATATAGTTAAAAAAAAATTTAGGTACATCAATATTATGTGTTAGAACTTAAAACGGACCATTTTTTTTTATATTTAGTATAATTATTATTATTAAGTTCATTATATTTGCCTTGTTAAATTTAATGAAATACATTTTAAGAACTTGTGAATTTACCTTACATATTAAAAGTAATAACACCGGCCACATGATTGGTTCTACTATAAACGTAAATTTGTTATGTTGTGCTTGGGTCGGAGAGAAAACAAATGGTGCGCTAATAACATCTTAAGTTTTTACTCAATTACTCATATACAATTATATTTTTAATTATTACAAATGTATTTATGTATATCAGTATATGTACCTATATTGCGATCCATTGGCCACCAATTACTAAATATCACTACTCTAAAGGACTTAATCCGAGCTTATAGTGGTACACTGGTATAATATTATGTGTTTTTGTGCATGTGTGGCTTACTATTTCTGTTTTGTCCGCCAAGCGCTTGGACATTTGCACAATGTCGTGTGACGAAAACATTTTTGCACGGTGAGTGTTTTCTCGGCAGGGCTTGCATAAGGCTTGACCTACAAAGCCAGTGATAGTTTATTTTTTTTTTTAATAGGTAGGTACAAATACAGTGTAAACCCTCTACCCACCCAAGGGTATCGGATGAATAGGACGTGAGAAGTTTATTATAAAACACTCATGCATACTTACCACAAGTGGAGCAAAAATACATTGAGGACGGTTCGCGTTTGTCGCAATTGGAGCAAGGGGGGTTCTCAACGTTCACCATATCGATCAATTTGCACATCAAATAGTCGGGAGGTGGTAACTGTACTCCTTCTTTCAACGTTGTTTGTGTTCTAAATTTAAAAATAAATCATAAATTATAAACAATAAATTGTTTTATTTTTTTATCATACGTATCATCATAATCATAATATTATTACTATTTTACGTATTATTGAAGATTATAAGTTATAACTTATATGTAGGTAACTATGTTCTATAACAAGGATTTCAGCACACTGAATGTAAAACTATCTTTCATAATATGACAATATTAAAGTGTTTCAAATCATTTTCCATTTACACGATAGGTACATTTTAAATTATTTTAAATCTTTTTGAACTATTTACACCCATGAACAATTTTTGTATTTTACCATTTTTTTTTTAAATTATTAAATTAGATTATATTTTATACAAGTATGCTAGTCCTACATTCCGTGTTAAACGTCTTACGTATAAAATTATTAATCATCAAATTCAAATTTAACAAAATATTATCATTACCTACATTATTGCAATGATATTATTAACTACTGTGCAACAGAGTGGTACCTACCTACCCACATGTCCAACCTTTTTTCTTTTTAAAAAAACACAAATTTAAATTGACAGCAAGGAATACAAAAGGTAATATTAGTCACGTAGTCTGAGAAATATTATGGACGTTTTTGAAATTTGTAATCATTATTCTCAAATATGAACAAACTTATTTTGTTGTAGTAATCTGCAGATAGTACCTATATCAATGAAATATTGTGGCCCTCCTCCCTCCCTCCCCCCCCCAAATACCGAAAAAAATTCCTGGCTGTAGCTCTGGTAGATAGGTAGGTAAATTAGTAAATAGCTACCTACTTGCATTTTCGGTCATAATTCATAACGCAAGACAAAGAAATTAATGACAGTCGACGATGACACGCCGTAAATGCCTATAATAGGATTTATATTTTATTATTTGTCAAAAGTAAATTAAATAATTTTAATCCCATTGATTGTGATACTTTCATAAACGTTTTAGCAGGTTTATAGTTTATAGGTCTACCTATGAATAGGTCTCACCGAGTGGCAACTAAATTTTTTTTTCAATATTTACATAATATTTTTATGATCCGGAACTCTTATTCTAAATAAGTATAACCAACCGGAACTGACGCAAAGGCAAATATTACGAACCACAACACCATTTCGGTGCGTATTCCGGTCCATTTCAAATACTGAAAATAAAAGTACAGAGTTAAATAATAAATAGATTATTTTTAACTGGAATATTTTGCTAACTTTTTCGTTTGGAACATAAGAGTAATATTACCTACTCAATGGTTTGGAATCGGCACGGAAATGAAACAAGTCATGCAACCATGCGGGTACCGGGTATATTACGTAATACGTTATCTATTAATGATAAATGAAAAGTAGGATTTTTCTATTAAGTGGTTATTTTTGAATTTTTGTCGTCCGTCGACGGAATCAATAATCCATGCTTATAAAATATTTAATATTTTTACCACAGTCGTTCGATCTAGATTCAAGCACCGAATAGTCCGAAATCCGAATAACGTGAACACCGGAATACGTGATTCAAAATGCAGTTATTCTTATTCATCTACTATGATTTTGATATCGGCGGTAAATGGTAATCGTCAATCATGACGTTACACGAGTTTTTAACAGTTACCGGATAACACAACATACTACATAGTAATTCGCTTTCGACATGTTCACTCCGACTTCCATCATTATAGCAGGTATGCCTAGTTAGTAATTAGTCGATATTTATCGCCGACTTCTGAGTGGATAATGTAGGTAATGAATATTTTATTACATTTACTAATAAGCTGTAAAAAGATTTTTCCAATAGACAATAGTCAAATCGCAACTATACACTTATTATTTATTAATTATTGTTGCGCCGGCGTTCAACCAATCGTTTAAGTTTTCAATACCTACCTAGACACCTAGTTCATGTTCCACTTCGTTGTAACGTAGGTAGGTATCAGATTGTGACTGTCAGACACTACTCAGCTTATAGTATGTAGGTTTGCCTAACATTTTATTATTTTTTATTATTTTATGTTTGCCATTTGCACAGCAATGTTCTGTCAAGATGACAACACATATTATATTTCTATCTATATTCTATATACCTACCTACACATTTATCTTAGTCTATATTGAGCCCATACTTACCTGTTCCAACATTATTATTAATTTCTATTACCTATATAATTTTGTACATAGTTAAAATTTAAATATAGGTATCTATTAATAATGGAAATAATAAGTGTAGTGGTACAGACGTACAGTCCAATTTCCAAGTTAGTGTCCACCAGCTGAACTCCACTTATCTATAACCTAGCATTATTTTATAATTCATTGAAAATAAACATTTCCATAACATAATAGGTACCTATGTGAATTTTTGTCTTACAGTGCATATAGTGCATATAGTGAATACCTAATAGACATTTGTAGATTACTAATAATTGGCACGTAAGTTTACTCATTATATGTGGACTTTATTTGGTAATTTATAGGGCACTATTACCTCTACTTTTACCTATATGTTATACCTGAGTGCCATAAAATGTAAGTCTAGCTCTGATTTTTGTATTGGTATGATTTAGATTTAGTAATTTAGGTAGGTAGGTACCTTGGTAAAATAAATTTAATTTAATTGAAAACTACTGCAACCTTAATATATTTTAAGTGTCATAATTTGACTAAATTGTACATAGCATAGGTACCTAAAGTGATTAAAACATTTTTATGATTTATATTTAAAGATTAAAAAGTTATAGTTAAAATAGGTGGTTAAATCATTGATTATAATTTATAAATGTAGGTAGTATTTATAGCCCAGTGGTAATATGTGATAGGTATCTGCTATTATCCAATTGTATACCCAGGTATAGGTAATAAATAATAATATATTGCCTCACATAATAATATTAGAGGAATTCCTTATTTCCATTATCTAATGATTATGAAATTTATATATTATACAATTTCATAATTTAATATCAGCGATCAATATAATATTCAAATAATTGAAATAGTATGAATTATTTTTTTATTTATAGATTTAATTTAAGGCGTCTAAAATGAAGAGGTCTAAAATAAAAAAAATTATTCTTACCAACAGTGTCAAAAGTTCTAAAGATTCCAAACATTGTTACTTGTGCGATGCTATAAAGCGAACCCACGAACATTACAATATATCATCATTACTGACAACTGTCAGCCAATGGGATACTAAAGGATCAAGTAAAATAAGAAGTATTAAGCAATTTAAATGTTTTGTATGCAATTATAATTCTAAGTATTTTAATAAATGGAAAACACATATCATGTCAAATGGACACATGTCCATGTGCCACACCTTAGACAAAGTGTGTTCATACTTCTGTAAAGCTTGTAAAACATTATTTTACGGGTCAGAAATATGTATAAGTCAACATCAAAAAGATGTGCATGATAGTAAAAGTAATTTGTCTAGTGTAACAATATTTATGTCTGAACTAATGAGTTGTTTGGATATTTATTCAAAACATGTTTATTTTTGTAGTATATGTAAAACCGTTTCAGAAACACCAATTCATACTTCTGGGAAACATTTAAATAAACAAAAATTGTATGATTGTAAATATTGTAATACTACATTTCTATGTAACACTGAAGAATTAGATTTTCATGAAGCTAGTGTAGAACATTTAACATTTAAATGTATTTATTCAATAAAAGAAGCTATCGAAGTAAACAGTTTGAATATACAAAAACAAGACCATGTTACAAAAACTACACATGATCTTCAAACAAAACTAAAACCATTAGAATTGCCATTAATTATATTGGACAGATTTCAGAAAACTTCAAAATCAATGGCAAAATGTATTTTTTGTAATGTTCTTATTCAATGGAGTGCTCAAAGAATAGTCAAACATGTAAATTTATGCTTGAATAAAGGAAATTTAACATCAGAAATGCATGAAATTTCGATTACAGCTTATGATTGTGGAGTATGTAGTTTTAAAACAAATTCTTTCTTTAGCTTTAAGCTTCATGTGATTTCACCTATACATCTCACAAATTCTCACACAAGTGGTGATTTCTACTCATATTTTTGTACCATTTGCAATTTATACATTTATGCTTCCAAAATTCAAATTAAAGATCATTTGAAAAGGAAACATAAAACAAATATTACTGACTTGCCTTTATTATCTACATTTTTAAAAAATAATTATAATTACATAAGCAATCATCCTGGATCTGACTTTATAGACTATTATGGTGATCTGGATCAACAATCCTGTGAAAAAGATTTTCAATGTAATGTTTGCAAAATTTCTTTCTGCATGTGTAGTTATGAGTATAACTTGCATGAGATTTCTAGTGAGCATATTCTTTTAAAATATTTTACGCCAACGAATCCTTCATTAGTTGTAAAACATGGATATGAAAATGTACAAACTTCATCTACTATAAATGCAAACTTAATTATAAACAATGAAGCTTTAAGTAATAAATATTTGTCTTCAATCAAAACTGATAAAAGTAATACAGAAGAAATTTCAGTAAATAAAGGTAAATATGAAATACAAAAAATTGTATAGGTATTTATATAAAGTATTAATCAATATATTGTAAGTTGCCTCGTGCCCTTGTGTGGGGCGGTGGTTGATCACAGTCACTAATGGATGCTGTGGTCAATTATCGGCCGGCGTTGCTAGCTCCCGAATTAGGGTCCGGTTTTTAGCGATAAATCTTCACCCCACATACAAACTGTTGCTCAAAACTAACCATAACCTTATGTATCCTCCTTCCAAACTAATAATAAAAAATTGTATGTAGCCACTATAATATAGTTCCTATATTGTAAATTATATTATCATTTAATCTAATTTGTTAGATTTTATTGAATTTATATTTTAATAGGTCATACGAATATTAAAAAAAGACAATTAGATATGAAGAGTACCATTTCAGAAAACAATAAGTTGTACAAAAATTGTAATGAAAGCAAATCACATTCAGCAATTTCATCTACAAATACCGATCATAACATACAACAAAATGTCAGTACTTGAATTTATTTATTTTGTAAACTGTTATTTTAATTGGTTAACAATTTCAGGTAAACATTGCTGATGATGGTGGTGTAATTATAGCAGATTTAAATTCTACTGCAGAAATTCTTTTTATGGAGCATGCTCAAGAAGCCTTGCATTATGTAGATGTAACAACAAGTTCTGATGGTCTGAGGCAGAAGAATAAAGTAATGATGCTTAAACATTTAAAATTATATATAGATTCTAGAACTTGTTTATCTTAGTTAAAATGATCGATATTAGGGTACCTGGTATCTATCATATCATAATAATAATTGAACAGTTGTGGTAGCTAGTATGATGGTAAGATATTGTGATGCAGAGTCTAGCAGTGTCAGGGTTAAATAGCTCTACATTATTTATATTTAATCTATTTATTTTTATTAAAATAAAAATGGTTCATTTTATAAGGTCCAGATTAACAAAATAAGTAAATATTTTGATACTTATTACCACATATTACTATTCTTACTAGTGCTTGACCTTAAATGCCTAATAAATAATAATGTATTCTTCCCATCCATTTGTTGTCTCAGTCTTACAAATGTACATGACGGCAAATTTTTGTTCACTAGTTTCAATAGTGTGCTGTTCGCTTTAGTATTAGATTAAATTTATAACCAAACTTTTAGCTAAGAACATTATCTATGATTAAGCGTTGATGATTTTATTCGATATTTTAATTTTCAAGCAGGTTATGGGTATGTGAAATATCACCCATTAAAGCGCTCATATCTCGCTTGATAATTAAAATATCAATTAAAAGATGACACTTAAGCACAGATAATGTTCTTACTTATAAGTTAAGAATATAATATCGCCTCTGGTCATACCTAGTGAACTTGTTATATATATTTTGTATGGCATTATATGAGCAACACATTTTATCTTACTAGCTAATATAAATACAGATAATTTAACAGAACAGACACTTAAATAATAATATTTAAATCTATAGTTTTTGATTTAATTAAAAAAATTATATAATTTTTAATTTTTATTATTTTTTAGATGTATAATAAACTTAAAAATACCAAAAAGCAAAATAATATTCAGTCTACTGATACACAGTCCAATATTACAAGACTATACAAGCAACAACATCCAACAGACCCAGATCAAGCATACGGACAGTATGTTATAGAAAGACTTAAAAATATACATAATGCATCTCTTAAAAGTAGTATAAAAATTGAAATAGATGCTATATTTTGTACCTATACCTAACTAATTTATTAAATGTACTATTAATTATAAATATTTGTTTATTAATAACTTAATTTTAAAAAAATAGTAGAAAATGGATCTATACTGTAAAATATTTCAAGTGTTAATATTAAAGGGACCTATAACTAGGTCGGCCAAACGTCCCGTGCTTTACAGAAAACATCCGTGTTTTAAAAATTTGACAAAATCTTTGTTACGGGCTCAACTGTCCCGTTTTTTTAAAACATGTCCCATTTTCAAAGTTATAAAAATTATGTAAGGATTACAACCGCTTTATAGACGCCAAAGATGCATCAACTTCTACCAGCAATTACCTATTAAGTATATTAATATCATTATGTAAATACTCACAAGGTCTTTTTTTATTAAAGACCTAAAGGTTATTATGTTATTTTATTAAAAATAAATGTTTTATTTAGTTGGTAAATATCAAAATATTAATTAATTTTGTATTTAAATATTTTAAATCTGGCCATCTTAACTACTGACTGGTGGGCAGTAAGTAAGAAAATGTTTTAAAAATAATAATTGCCTTACATTTGTATTTATTTTGGGCACATCTGATTTTAAATCAAAAAAGTGATTCTTAAAGAGCATATAGTCTAGAATTTTATAAATTCAACCATTTTTTTCAAAATTTCTATCGAACTTCAGGAAGTATGTTAAATTTACTACCGCTTTTTGTAGTTTTTATATTAATGCGAACAATAATATTTTAATTTTGCGTGCGAGAGTTGGATCCGGAGACGGTTTCCCTAGTGCCCGACACGGTATTGCAGTGATTCTCGGAAACACACTAATGTTTTTTTAATGCTAGCCACACGCCCACACGTCATAGACATGGCCCAAATGTTTATGTCATGTAAATTGCCTAAATATTACTCCTTAAAACAAGATATCTAGTCGATCGTGTTTTAAGGAAATTAAATAGGCAATTTAACATGACATTAAAATGACTTAATATTTTGTCGTGTGTGCATAGTAAACGAACATAAGTACAATATGTCTGTAAATCTGTAATCATTTAAGATCATTATTTCCTAGAAATGTCTTAACAGCAGGCCGTATAATAAGTAATAACGTCCAGGTCGTTATTTATATTCGACGTAAATAAACCATAATTTATACCTACGCGCAGGCATTGACGGAGATATTAAATTATGATCAACTTTTTCTGCTGAATTCAAATATTTTTTCAGAATCAAAATCAGACAACGTTAACTAACTTTCATTTTGTCAAAACAAATGTATATTTTTATAAAATTTGTGTAGTGAAATCGATATGGTTATCGAGTTATTGACATGTGCATGCTAGTACGAGAGAGGATACCCGCATTTAATTTCACTCACTAATAATCATTTACAACTAACACATAGATCCCGGGTGGCTATGACAAGATTAGAAATTGCCTAAATGTTTCCCCTTAAATAATGACCGTAGCGAGGCCCCTTAAATGACTTGATAAATGTTTGTGTAAATCATAATACTAAGTCATTTTATAACATAAAAAATATTAACTTTTAACTTAACTGAATGTTGATTTAATTGAATTTACTTAACTTGCCACCATTAATTATTTTCATTAACTTGCCGACCTTTGTATAAACCATACAATAATCGACGACCGACGTCGATTATAATGATAGTAATAAAATGATAATATATTCTCTGACACAGCTCATGAACTACGTTATCTATCGAAGAATCTCCAAAACACAAGGGTGTCGGTGCCGGTCATTTATTAAGGAGTAAAATTTAGGCAATTCAATTCACAAGTTGTATCGGCCTCGAGCGGAACGTGCCTGTGTGTGAGTATGTAAATCGATATTAGTGTGAGTGAGCTATAATTACACGCGCAGATAAAGATATTACACTCACGCCCTAACACAAGTCAGTGATTGATTCCGATGACTATTATCGAAGCACTATTTTACTGAAAAAAAAAACTCTTGCAGAAAAAACTCTCACGCCTCGTTGATATGTCGGATTTTAGTCATTTTTTTTTTTATCTGAAAGATAAGAAGTTTTTGCTGGTCGGATCAAAGCTTGAATTTTTATTTTACTTTAAATAGTAGTAGAAAAATACGTTTGAAAAAGAACAAAAAATTGTGTATTATTCATATGCATATTCCAGCTTCTATAATTATAATTTTCAAAATCGGACTTTTATCCGACCTTCAAAATGTTCTCTACTTTTAAATAAAAAAAAATTAACGAAATCCAACTGTTCTACAGGGCGTGAAAATTTTTCCTGTTAAACATGTTTTTGTACAAAAAAACCGCACCGGCCCCGACCCCCTTAACTCCAGTCTCCAGCATCTTCATCAAGAACAAGTCTTTTATTCTACAATATAGGCATTAGAACCGTTTAAGACAACCTCAGTTCCATGAATATGGATATTTTATAGAAATATAAAAATAGGTAATCGAAAAACTATCACCCCTATATTAGTTTTTATAAAATAATCTAAACTCTAAAGTAATTTAGAAATTTCCCCGATTTTTGTGTGGAGAAATAAAAAAGTGCAATAACCCACCAATTTGACCAATTAATTCAAATTAATACATTATGATATATGGTAGCTGGGAAAATATGCCATGATAGGTACCTTCAGGGGCGAACGCAAGGGAAGTTTTAAAGGTTTGGACCCCCTCCCCCCGAAATATCAGGTACAAAAAGTAAATTATCGGACCTACAAATGTATTACTAATAACATTTCAAAAAAATTTTCAAGCCCCTCCCCCCTCCCGTAATTTTTTCCTGTGTTCGCCCCTAGGTACCTTAATAAAATACCTATTATTAATAAACATTTATAGGTACATATATAAAACAAAATATATTAAGAACAATTATAGGTATAGCCAAGTGTATAATATTATTGTATAAAACAATAATATAAATTGTAGACCATCATTAGTGTTATGAAAATTTAAAACTAGATAGTATTAAATAATTTTCGATACGAGTTGATTCCTGGGTACCTCTTTACCTGCACTGATACCGTTGAGTTGATTCCCGGGTAATTAAGAGGTACATATGAGTTGATTCCCGGGTTATGCAGAAGAGGTATGTACGAATTGATTCCCTGGTCATTATATATTATTTTCAATATTTAGTCAAATAATCAGCCTATTAGCCTAACCCAAGAAACACCATGAGGAGGACAAGTTTCTCAAAAATGTTGTTCTTTTTAGTTTTTTCATATTTTGAAAATCATTCAATTATTTGTTAAAAAATTATTATTAAAAATGTTAGTAATTTGGTAAAAAACACATTGTTTTTAAAAATTGGTATCTTGAAATGAGATTACCAGTTTACCGTGAGTGGACATATAATGAGCCGGGAATCAACACGTACATACGACATACCTAATAATGACTAGGGAGTCAACTAATACATTACGTAGGTCTCGAGAAGCAACTGCGTTTTCGATGAGTCGGTTAATGGGGTCTCAGTGTCTAACCCCCCTCCCCCGCTGAAACCCACCGATCAGTGTGTTCATGGCTATATTTATCACCGTATCGTTATTTACTGGCTACAACAACTGCAGTCTGAAGACGACACTCACCCGCACAGGGGACAGTTGATTTTGCCTTCCTGGTTTTTGGTCCGGATGCATTTGGCGCAAAAAGTGTGGAAACAAATAAGGATGCAAGGATCGCTGTAGTAGTCCTCGCACAGGAAACACAGCAGCGGATTGCGACTACAGGACGCGGCCCCGGACCCGTCGTCCGCCGCCACAGCCTCCGCAGCGTCTGACATCCCGGTGGTCTGCAGATTGACGGATGACGACGTCATTTCCGGTGGAAACGGTATGATATAATATTATTTATGCAGGTACCGATCTAATATGATAATATTAATATAATCGATTCATCGTACGGCGACGTCCGTTCGTCTTGTTTTATGCGGCAACAACGCGTACTCAGCTATGACACATGCCACGAGACCGTCGAGCCCGACGTACGATCGATCCACAGATAATCGGGTTCGGTCGTCGAGGTCTGTGCTGCAAAGTGCAAAAGCGCAAAGCTCCCGCGCCGCGCAGCATCGACTCTGTCCACCCCCTCGCGGGCTGCAGCAAATTATCGAGTGGCGCGCGAGCGTGTGCCCGACGGCCGTGGAAGTGAAACCGCGGGCGGCGATGTTTGTTTTTTTCCTCCAGCTCGAAATCGCGGTTGTCGTCGGAAATCCGAAATCGTTCGGCCTCCGTCGCGGCCTGATTATTATTATCAATAATAAATAATTATAATATTATAATAGACCTAAATAACCGATCATTATAATAACAAAATAATAATACGTAATAATTTAGGTATTTTTTTTTATAAATATTTAATATCGTATTTAACATTATTGACGAACCTCATTTTCGGCGCACCCGTTCCCCGTTACTCCAACGGGACGTCGAAAAGGTTCACACAATATTTTATATTTTATCGTTTTCTAGTACCTACCCATCGTATTTTTTCCGATCTCTGTTCCCGCCGCTATTTTATCGTTCGAAAATATGTCCTGTCGCTCTGTCTGAACGATAGATTGGACCGTTGTTTAATAGGGTAACTATCGGCTGTATTGTGAATAAAATATAATACTATCATAATGGGACCAAAACCTGAGGACATTTTAAATGGATTCCAAGTGTAAGTCGAACTTTCAGGATAACATTGTTCAATACTTATGACATGTAAATTAAATTTTTTTGTTCTTAGCAATTGGATGAATTTAAGAGACGCCGATACGGGAGTTATATTATGGCAAGGCACCGAGGATCTGTAAGGACATTATGAACTAATCTTGTACTATCCACACAATATAGTTATGGTAAATTTTCTAAAATATGTTTTTATTAGATCATTACCTGACAAAGAACACGAAGCCAAAGTACCAAAAAAGATATTGAAGTGTAGAGCTGTATCCAGGGAGATAAATTTTTCATCTGTAGAACCTATGGAAAAACTAAGGTTACAACAAAAAGTACTGTTTAAGGTATGCATCTATAAATTGTCTAGGTAGAACAATTTGTAATAAATAATTTGGATTTTGGATTTCTTTTAAACATAATTTATCTACTGATATTATGTCACCCAATTTTCTTAGTAAGGCAGTGGTAAACAAAACATTAACTAGGTATGTTTTTGTAACAAACTAGACAATATTGTTTTAAAACCCAACACTATTTTATTATCTTTTGTTTACTTACACATTATTATTTTAGTCTATTTAACATATATCTATTATAGGGTCGTTGTCTTGAAGAATGGTATTTTGAATTTGGTTTTGTTATTCCTAACTCTACTAACACTTGGCAGTCACTTATTGAAGCAGCACCTGAATCACAAATGATGCCTGCAAATGTTCTTAAGTAAGTTGCACTAAATTATGATAATATTATCATTTATCATAATGGTGTAAATATTTAATGTTTACAATTTATTTTTAAAACAATCAAAAATGTACAAGAAATGATCAAATACATTATTTATTTAGTTTTTAAATGATTAATTAATGTAAATTTCTAGAAATATGATAAAATGTTCTATTAAATTAATATTATTTAATTTATAGGACAATATAGTAGAATACAAATAATTGATACCATTTATTACATCTTTAGAATTGATCATTGTTTTGCCTCTACTAAATGATGTTACTAATTTCTATTTGACACATACCTAATTATTTTTATATGATAAACATTTAAGTTTAAAGTTATAAGCTTATTATAATCATACATTTATATATTTTTTCAGTGGTAATATTGTGATAGAAACAAATTTCTATGATGACGATCTACTGATATCATCATCAAAAGTTCGACTGTATTATGTTTAATCACCAAGAAATTCAAATGTGCACTACTCAAAATATGTAGATAGACAATTTTGGCTTGGTACATGCATAACCGAGGTCCAAGAACACGGAAAACAAGTCCCCACTGCTGTGATTGTTTAGTTTGATTACTTTTATATGTGATAAAATGTTTTTCTTGGTCGTAAAGTGTTAAACTTATTAATAAGTTGTAACTTCTAAATGTAAAACCATAGTCTTTATATTCAATTTTATTTTAAGAAATTAGAATGTCGTACACAAGGATACAATTTACACACAAATATTGATCTTTCTTAAACATTCTAGTATGAGATTAATTTTTTTTTATAAAAAAAATCACTTAATTTAGCACATAATATGGACATATGATTGGAGTTGTGAAATTATTGTCGAATTATCATTTATATCTTCACAAGACTGCCTAAGTGCTGTTCATTTTTTTAATTTGTATTGTCTAGCCTCTAGCACATAATATTATGATAATGTACTTAATACAGTTAATTGTAATGTTTTTATTCTTATTGATCAAATATTATATTATATTATATTTTAAAAACTCAAAACACGCTTACTAAAACATATTATATTAATAACTGTTTTTATTAGTCAATGATGCTTTATAATTGAAGATGACACATATAGAAAAATGTTTCGTGTACTGTAGTACAATAATATTAATTTTGTACATACTTTGAATTATGGGTAAATATATCTAGTGCTTATTTAAATAACAAAAAGTAAAAGTTTGAACAAGAAGAACAATAAATTGTTTAAAGTTAAATAATCTAAATATTACAATTATTATAGGTAACTAAATTATACTATATTATAGACAATTATTATTGAAAAACAGGAAATAAAAATTAATAATAAGTTGTGAAAGCCTATTATCAACCTGTAACCACACTGAGTAAAGTAAAGACTACTGAGTGAGGTTATATTGAACTAACTATCTAAGTAAGATAGAGACAATAAAAATAGTATTACAATATTTGCATCCTAATAAAAGGAAAACACTAATATAGTTATAGGAAATTTAAACTGCTGTCAAAACCTTACATTTCATTATTAAAATTAAAATGTAGAGCTATGCATAATACTTCCAGTGGGTTCAATTACTTACTGGTTACTAAATATAATATTACTGCTCAATAAAAACTTAATGAAAACAATTGGTGATAGACAAACAATCATAATGTAAAAACAACTATATATATAACAAAAATGTTGCTAGACTAAAAAGTATTCAAATTCCAATTGAAGTATAGGTGCATATTATTATACTATAGCTTATAATTTTAATCGCTCATAAATTATAAAATAATTTTGTCACTGGGTTAATTGTTTGTTTAATATTGTAAAACAATGTCTTTTTTTTCTTTTTACTTATTACTTTTCAGGTGATTTTGACGCTTGGTCCAAATCTAAGCCTCTTGTCTTTTGGATTATTTTTGTGTATGGCGATCCAAGCAAAGCTTCACCCTTGTCAACTTCAGGATTTTTATTTGGAGTACAGGGTTCAGAAACCACATTCTTTTTCTTTTGAGGTGTTTTTGGTGCCTTTACTTTTTTGCTTTTATCAGGAGACCGGTAAGAATAATTGGTTCGACCATTAGTTTGCCTAAAATTGTACCGTCCCAATTTTGGTTGTTCTTCATTTGTTTTAAAAGCTCCTTTACACAACTTTTCACATGAACAGCATTCACAGTAAACATTATTTTCACCAAAGAAATTAGCACCATAAAAGCATGTTATTTCATCACCAGGTTTAATATCTCTGAGTACTTTAACACAGGCCGTTCCTTTGTCATTAGGTACAAACTTACAATTGGCCAGGCAATCATGGTTGATATACGCTGCTGGACCCAGCCAAAGTTGAGCACACTTTTTGCGACAGCTGTACATCACTGAAAAATCATTCTTCCCAATATGCAATATTTCATCCTCCTCTTTTTCTGTCAACTCGGCCACACAACCAACTAATCGTTTAATAATTCCATCTTTATGCCAATGACTGGTGGCATTTACTTTGGCTCCTACTTTTTTCTCTAAAGAGTATCTGTAACATGGTTCAATTCGAAAACCAGAATCCAAATAAAACATTCCCATGTATCTTTCAATATGGTCTCTGACTAAATTTTTATAAGACGCTTTGAATAAATGATCAGGTATATACTTTCGATTCCAAAAAGATCCAAAAGCTATTTTCATATTTTGATTTTGTATGAATTCATCAATAATAGGTTTTAAATGTGATTTACATTCATACCTTTCTTTATGTTCTGTGTTCATTTTGTGGGTATTAAATCCGAGGAAAACATCGACAACAAGAGATGTAGCTAAGTCATCAATATCACACAGATCTTGAGGCTTCATAATTTATGTATCTGAAAAATTATGTAATATTTTGTTATTAATGAAGGTGAAATTAAGAACATAACTTATAAAGTAATAAAAGAGTATATTAAATAATGATTGTAGAAATGAAAAATCAAGCTTTTTTAAGCAAACAGTAAATTTACACATTCATTTTGAGGAAATGTATGTATCTTATAATCAACAAATATTATCATTTAACACGTTGACTGCCATGCGACCGCCGGCGGCCGCCAGCGGCCATAATAATATGTATCATTGGTACGCCAAGCAAATTTTCCAGTGTCATTACAAATTTGTATATATACTATTGAATTGTATGTTAACTAAAAAATTCAAAAAAAATATTAAAAATATGTTTATTACATCAAAAAAATTGTAATTATTCCCACTACGCCACGGCGCATTTTTCAGTTCATTATTGTAGCGCCATGGAAAAGCTAATAATATAAATCTAAATTCATTTATGGCAGCCCGCTGCCGTATGGCCTCCTAGGAATGATATGGTGCGGCAGCCGGCGGCCTAAAAATTATCGATACGTAATTATTTTTATGTGGCCGCCGGCGGTCGCATGGCAGTCAACGTGTTAAATAGATTTATTACAAAATATTAACTATGTACTAAAGGATGTAGTATGTACGCATAAGGATTTTCAATAATCAGCCATTATTTTATTATTTTAAAACATTAAATTGAGTTTTTTGTCAAATACCAAATCACATATTAATATTTTGGCATTGGTGAAATATATTGCCATTACAATTTGTGGACATTTTAAAATCATGACTATAAATAAAATACAAGTTTCATTAAATTGTTTACCTAGTTAATTTTAGAATGATATCCAATATTAATTGGTAGATAAAAAGATACCCACATAAGCAAGACATTTAAAATAGGTATTAAAGAATACTATACAAGTACAATCTTGTGTATTGTACAACCTATTTTATGCTATAATTTGACAACTATATATAATGAATTTTTGATACAAATAAATTGAGCGACCACACAAGGAAGTAGATGTGGACTATGGTCTATGAGTAATTGCCAAATACAAAATCATCAAGTTAAAAACCTTCACGTTAAAAATCTGTAGATTATTTGTGGAAAATAACGAAAACATTGGAAATCAAGTTTGGGCGAGTTTGTAAGATATTTAATGGTGACTGATGAATGATGATGACAACTGACAACGTTTAACATTTTAAATAATATCAAATATTGAAGTGATATTATAATGATCAAATTGTACTATAAAATGTAAATATGTCCACTTGTCTACATACTATTATAGTGCACTGCTCACAAACACAGAACGTCAATACCTACCTACTTGGAAGGTTTTCGAATTTTCGATTCATAAATGATAATTGTTTAAATTCCGGCAAACTGTGGATATTGACTGCTAAGGTATTTGATATTAACGTCAATATTTTTTCCGGTTCATTGAAAGTTTTTAAACGGTCGTTAATCGTTATTCGGTGTGAATATCTGGTTCGAGAAACAATAAGATTCGGACGGTAGGTAGTTATTAATTATTGCCACTTACCCGAAAGGACACAATCAGCTGTACCACGAACCGCCAAACCGCATAGACTTCAGACCTCTCCGAATAAGTTTTACCGACAAGGTGACAATCGACATCCGCAGATCAACCGCAGCTGGACGAGAAGGCGACTTCTATTTATATTTTTTTAAGACTGTGTATTAACTATCAACAGTCAACAGTCAAGTCTCAGTCTCATCGGGATCTCTCGGGATCTGAAGTCTGAACGCTCGAGTTACGAAAACCGACAACCGTTATCCCCTTATCACGTTATTATCAAAGGATTACGGATGACGTTAGGAACGTCTTGATCAATTTACCGCAGAAACGACGTGAAACTGTGGAAGTGAAACCCGGCAGCTAGCCGAGATATTACAATTTACAATAATACTATAATAGTCTATATAGTATATAGGTATTTGAAATTGCAGGCTGTAGGCTATCTGGCTATATACTGCTCAGTGGCGTATCCAGGGGGGGGGCCACAGGGGCCATGCCCCCCCCCCCCTCGTATTTACTAGATTTTGTTTTAAAGATTTAAATGTATTCATATACATGAACGCAATGAACGCATACTTCAATAATACGCTTATCTTATGCCTTAATATACCAGTACCATGAACATTAGAGGAAGGACGCCGAACTGTGTATATAAAAGTGGTCCGGAATTATCGCATTCCGCCAGAATGCGCGTCGGACCGTAATGATGTCGTTTTTACATGTACAGCATAGGGAATTTATTGGTTTTTTAATATTATATTCTAAATGGTGTAACTTATGAATAATTACTATAGAACATTTTTTTAAAACCAAATTGCCCTCGATCGAATATATGTGTTTTCAATAATATATGACTTTTATAAAAAAAGATATAGTTGTTGTCTCTTTTTATAAAAGTCATATATTATTGAAAACACATATATTCGATCGAGGGCAATTTGGTTTTAAAAAAATGTTCTATAGTAATTATTCATAAATTTCACCATTTAGATTATAATAATAAAAAACCATTAAATGTCCTATGCTATACAATATGTAAAAACGACATCATTACGGTCCGACGCGCATTCTGGCGGA